CCGGTGTTTATGGATAGTGGGTGATGAGCGCGGCCAGCACTTGAGGCTATCGAAGGATATGTGGTTACCTTTGCCCGTTGCCTTTCTACCTTTTTTCTCGCTCTAGTCGGGCTGGCTGGGTTCAATGATCTCCTTGTCATTTGTATATTAAAGACTACATTTATTTCAAGAACCACATGTTACTTTCTTTTCTCTCACTTGTAACGTGCGCTTAACTTGTTTGACGAAAAAGATCTCACTACAGAAAGTATTGTATTTTGTAAAATAATAATTGTATTTAATAGTATGTTATTAAATGTAATGTATATAATAGTATTTGTCGCGCACCAAACAGGTCCTGTCAGAATAACAGCGTTGACGCGGCACACATGTGTGTCACGACAACACAAGCTGAGGCAGGGTCCTGATTGACCTCTGTAAATGTTATTACTGTATTGTTTATTAATAGTAGTATGTTTTTTTTTATTGTTATGAATTATTTATTGTGATGTATTTGTTTGTGTAATTGAGGTCAATAAATGTCTCTTCTTCTTCTTCTTCTTCTATAAGCCCTTTCATATGAAATTTTTTCCACTTAAAATTTTATCGGTAAAGTAGTTTTTTTCTTTTGTAATGTAATAAATATAAATAAGTTCTGTTTTTTTTTAAACTTGAATAGTATAGCTCCAATTACATTAAAAAGGTTGAAAGTTGAAATAAGTTACATCAAGTAAACTCACCTGCAGAGAAAAGGTATCATATTTTGGTTTCAAGGTTCAACAGCCAACAAAAATAGCGACAATTAGGTCGACAAGCGGTAGTATTTCACCTCAAGGCATTCGTTACAATAAAAAATAAATTGGAACAAAGCATTCGTTGGAGCTTGCTATTTTTTATCTACTCGGGGCGAGCTCTACAGCAATACTGTAATGGGACTATAAAAAACGAGATTATCTTTCCTGTAATTTTCTCGATCCGTAGCCCGCGGCGAGCTTGGCCGAGAGGACAATAAAACAGTCGTTAGAACAAGAATAAAGTCACAATAATAGTACAACAAGTAAAAAGTAGACCAAGTTGATAACACTTATTTATGTTTGACAGACTTGTATCCACACTTATATTCCAAAAAGTTTTTACTTGTCGTTTTGATAAAATAAAAAATAAAATCTGAAACCGTGTCAGTTGAAATTGACGTGTTTACGCTGTCTGGATGAATTCTGTAATACATCAAATGATTTCTGTATCTCCACTGTAGAAGAACATGACCCAGATAGGAGACTCTTCGCCATTTAATTGTGAACATGAGTGTCCTTTTTTGGTCTTCCAATATTTTCACGTTATGCATCCTCTGAGTTCAGTCTACGATAGCATTCATAGGTATCTAGCCTCTCTACTAAGGCTTTCAAAAATATTCATTCGAAATTTGTTCCAAAAATAAATTCATAGCAACAAAAACTATACACACAACTCAAGCGGTAGATGATGAAATCTCTTCTGTAATTAAAAAATTCTTCTGAAAAAACCTGTCCAATAAAAAAGAAAACCAAAAATAAATGTGTTTTAAAAATATTAAATGTTCCTGAGTGTGTGAATTATTGTGCAAATGAAATCAACATAAGAAAAGGAATACGACCAGCGAGCTAATTTTGATGGCTCTCTGTTTTTGATATCGAAGATAGCTCGCTGGTCGTATTCCTTTAGCCCCTATTCCTTTATCTATATCCTATGTAAGTCCACCAAAATCTCAACGATTCGCCAGTTATTATAATTACCCACATCGTATCAAAATTTTATTAATATTTACTGATATTTTAAGATTAACAGCATCAGTAAATTGAAATAATTTGGACTATCGACTATAATAATTCTGCGGCTTTGTTAAACTAATAAGCTTATATCTTGTAACTAGTCAAATGTTTGTTCATTAAATAAGGTTCAGTTCGAAGTTAATTGCAGTCGTATCTGATTTTAGCGCTTGTTTGATCTAAGCATTATAGCCAATTTGGAGTCTGTTAATCTAAGAGCGCTTTCACATAATAAGGGTTTATTAGCGCGACCGTGGCACTGCAGTCGACTAAGGTCATGTTCAAAACATGAACTCGTGTTTTGATTTGAGGCACGTCAATGTCTTAGAAGCAATAAAGTCGTGCTGTTTATCTCATACTAGCTTTTCGCCTTCGGCTTCACCCGTGTGGTCGATCCCGTATTATACATAAAAACTGCATTAAAATCCATTATGTAATGTAAAAGATCTCAGCGTAAAAACAGCAGAAAGGGAATTTGTTTTATACTATATATAAATTTACATTATTACTATTGTTACGAAATGTTATAAAGTGGTTAATTTTTTTAATTGGAGCCTAGCTATCATGTTCATTCTAATTTTTAAGGTTCCTTACCGACATAAAACAAGCGGAACCCTTATATGATTATAAACATCAGCATAATTCAACAACCCCATGGTTCTATGCTTTATCGATTACACAAAAGCCTTTGATTGAGTTCAATCGGGTAAACTGTGGAATATGCTGCTGGAAACGGGAGCTCCTAAATATCTCGTTGGTTTGATTTAGAATCTGTACACTGAAAACATTTTTTTCATCAAGAGAGACACCTAATACTCCAATATATTTCAAACAAAAAGGGAGTGAGACAAGGTTGCATATTATTCCCTGCACTATTGAAAATCTATGGAGAACGCATTTTTCGGAAGACTATTGAAAATTGGAAGAAGGGTTTCCGTTTTATGTCGAACATTGTAGGTCCGTGTTGTCGCCACTGACTTTAGCTGAATACCAGTGCAATGGGTGTACCCATTGCTTACAATGTTCAGTTGAGGTCAGTTTTGACAGCACACAAGATTACACTTAAAATTCTTGTATGTACTAATTGTTAATTGTTTTGTTTGTTTTATACTGGGTTGTATTGTGTGTTGCAAAATAAATAATTTATTATTATTATTAGTTTAAAGATATTGCCATGGGAGATATGAGCGAGTTATTCCAAAAATTTGAATTGGAAAGTGAAAACTGTCGTTTCACGGTTACAGCAACAATTAAGGTCATGGTAGTGGATTGAACCGGAAAACTTGCAAATGTCGCCTATGGTATTTCTGGCATCGATATAGTCGACCGCTGCGTGTATCTGGGATCCCTGATCTGCGATGATGGAAGCTGTGTCTCCGAAATAAAAAGGCGGATAGCGATGGCCAAGGATGCTATGATCCGTCTAAATAACATCTGGAAGAAAAGAGCAATTGATATCAAAACAGAGATCAGACAGATACGAGCCTTGATAATCCCTATCTTCCTGTATGACTTCTTGCATTTGAGATAAAATCAAAATTCGCCTATCCATCAGCAGCTTGCGCAGAATTGATGAAAGTCTGAAGAAATTGATTGTGGTAGGAAGTACCGAAGGCTCACGCGGTCGCTCACCAACTCAAAGATGGATCTATCAGGTAAAATCCTTATCATCGTCCAAATTTTACAACGGCGTAAGAGATGCGCTGGACAGGAACTAATGGAGACAAATCATTCACACTAGATGCAACCCTGATAATGACCACGATCATTGGGTTATCTGTGTATCTGTCCATCGGTAACAGCCAAAGATTCTGGACCAATTGAATTAGTAGACTTATTAGTAACATAAACACAGCTATCGCTATTTTCGAACAAGAAGTCTATATCTATATAAAATTGTATGTTTTTTGCGAGTCCGAATTGCTTTTGGCCTTTTTCTTTTTAAATAACAGAACATCGAATAAATTGTCATATCATACTCATAAGGCAAACTACTAATTGATTCGTTATTATTGATAGCAATGATTAAATTGATTGGAAATAAAACAAATTCCAAATAAACTATGATTAAAAATAAAGTCTTTATTATTATATTTCTTTAGGGTCTTGATTTTTTTTAAATGATTTGACTTTTAAAGTTCGACGATATTCAATTTTTCGTTTTTATATTCTATTTCCTAACAAAGATTTCTATGACATGTAGAAAATACTGATTTAACAATTCTTAGGCTATTAATGTTATTTAAAAATTTGAAATATTTTTTGGTGCTTTAAGCTTCGGAATATATCATCGTTTATCTCAATTATCTCATTGACAGGTCTCGCAATTTGTCCACTTTTTAAGTCGGCGTTATGTGTGTTTTTAATACCTCTTTAGATTTTTATTATCTGATTTCAAAACAAAAGGACAATTTGTCTTTTTATATTTGTGATTTATCATAGCTTGGTGAATAATATACCGATTTTAACATAATATTTTATTTTGTTAATACAGTATACCTATACATGCTTAATAATGCTTCGGTAAGTAAATTTTATCTTCTATTGAAATCGGGTGGCGACTGGTTTTTGACCATAAAGACTATTGCTTCAAAGATAAGTACTGTTTTTATTTTTGAGTTTCTTCAAATAAATATTAGCCAAGGTAACTTTCTACTATCTCCACTTGCCCCTACGATGCGCAACAGATACTCTATGTTGGCTATTCGCGTGTACTCTCTCATATAATAGAGCCAGATCAACTATTTTTCTTCCATATTTCTGTTATCGGGCATACAGAGACTTTTCGTTTGTTTAATTGTGATGCACAAGTGTTTAATTTTTGTTCAATTGGGATTGCCTAATTCATATTTTGAGAACAGAGAAAATGGGAGTCATTTTGTATCGAGAACTACAGAATACTGACATGCTATTTGATTATAACGCGTTGTGGCAATGAAGAAAAGCCACGACGCGTTCTGAGCATTAAATGCTTTAAACCAAGGCTGCTCAACTTTTTTATCAGTCGGGCCAAGTTAGATGATTCGGAAATTTATGGCGGGCCACTAAAGACTTACTAACTAATGAAATGAAGTCGTCAGTGATCCGTAAAAAAATAATACTTTTAAGACTTATGCAATAAAAACATGTAAAATTACAAAATTTGGTGTTTATTAAAATAAAAAAACCAAGAGCCTCTTTTGCTAACTTATTAAAAAGTAAAACTTGTATCTTAAATTAATGAGATTTCTGACAATGTTTCAGTTGTACTAATTTTCTTATATCAGGATTTAAATTAGCTGTTGTCAGTAACACCAAGTCAGAAATATGTTGCTCCGATAGTGAAATACGGCATTTATTTTTGATGTAATTAAGATCCGAGAAAACCTTTTCATACACATATGTTGATCTGAAACTACATAAGAACTGTAAGGCCAGGTTCGTTATTACAGGAAAGCTTTCTTTTCTGTGACGTCTGTGAAGAGCTTTGGCACGTATATAATTTATACAACGTACTACTGGAACCATAATATCATCTAACTTCATATCCTTTGTACATAAGGCTTCCTGGTGGATAATGCAATGATACGAAAATATTGCGCGACCCAAGAAATTTTGCAACAAAGCTACGCAACCATTATTTTTTCTTATCATTGCAGGTGCACTATCGGTGGAAATGGTTATCATTTATCCCACGAAAATCCCTTTTTCTCAATACATTCCTTAATTTTCAAGAATATGTCTTTTCCTTGGGTTGTAGTTTCTAACTGACAGAATTCTAGTAAATCATGCAATATATTCCAATGTTCATCAACACACCGCACAAAAATAGCCAACTGAGAACTACTAGTTAAATCGCATGTTTCATCTAACGCCAATGAAAAGTATTTGTACTTTGTTACGATTTCTTGGATCTGCCCGCTGATATCAACGGCCATCTCTTCCGTCTCGTAAAAGTGTGTCGTGAGAGTGAAACACTATCGGCTTGAGCCTTAACATTTTTATCTTCACAATTTAGGGCAAAGATTGTCAAAGCCTCTTTCACGATTTCTCCGTCAGAAAAAGGTTTCTTCTGTTTGGCTAAAAGTAAAGAAATTTCATAAGAGACTATGACCATGGATTCGAGCTCGTTGTGCCTTTTAACAAATATGTTTTGTCGATTAAATAATTCCCTTCTCTTTTTTAACAAATAATCCCCTCTGATACTACCTATTACCAGCATGGTTTGCCTATAATGCCTTTCTAAATTATATTTTTTTGTAACTAATAACATACCTTCGTACGCCAATGTTTAAACCACTACTTATTTTAACAAAAACTTACGAGGTATATCAAATAATTATTTGATTTAGTTAGTTCCTTAATGTAAAAATCACAAGTCAAACTTTCATTGTATAAGCACCAGAGATGTGACTTATCTTAGATACAAGTATTTGAAATACAGATACAAGATACAAAATACGTATTTTCATCTTGTATCTAAAATACTTTTTTTAGGAAGTATTTTGTATCTTGTATTTAAATACTTTTGTTTAGTATCTTAGTATCTTTTAAATACTTTTTCTGATAAAATACTTTATAAAAAGTTTATTTATTACATTTTATAAATATCACAAAACATTCTTTGCCTAAAACATACAAAAAGAAAGTGTTCAATTATCAACGCAATGAAAATTTAGTTAAAAATAACTCGAATCCAAACATTGTTTGGTGTCATTTAAAAAGTAAATGCGTAGAACTGAACGTACGATTATACCGGTGTAATACACCCTCCCTAGTAAAAATTGATAGATGGCGCATAGGGCTTGAAATCGAATAACCAGTTACAAGCAATAAAAAATCTTGATTTATGTAAAAAACCCGGTTATATGCTATAAATAAAACTCAGTATATCAATTAAACTCAATATTAAATTTTATTATTTTTTTGCACATTATACTTTTTCCACTAACAACAGCATTCAAAGTTTATTTTTAAGGAAATTTCACTGTGAAATTCGATACATGGCAAATGCTTGAAATTATATCCCGTGAGCAAAGCAATATTGCTTTTATTGACTCAACAGTTAATCTTTTTCTATCTTTTGACCACTGCATATTCATGAGCGAAAAAAAAAATCAATATTCGCATTATGAGGTATAATACAAAAAAATACTGACAAATCTTCAGTAGTTCGGAAACGAGTGCTGTCATTGCATATATTGAAAATAATTACCCACTGCTTTTCAATTAATTCGTCATAAAAATAAATTTGTTAATAGAAAAAAATTCTTCAAATAATTTCTTTGACATCGTCAATTAATACTCCTTTATTTTTCAAAAATACAACAGAATCTGTGATGTAATCGTATAGTAGATTTTGCTTTAATAAGTAACCATTTAATTCAAGGGATCTTTATTGAGAAACAACAAAAAAATGGGCGGAGTCCTGTCTTAATATTAGGTCTTTACCTATGTAATTGCCGTTCTGCTGTACTAGCCATTTAAAATCAAACTATGTTTTTTGGCTGATAATTCTAATAACAAATTATTTTTTCTAAAATCGTCATTTGTTCAATTGTAAGTGTTTTGTTTTCAATGCATTTGAATATTTTTCGTCGTCATGGATAAGTTAAAAATTCGAGTAATTATGGAGTATGTGTGCCATCGTGGCAGCAAAGCGGCACGCAACATTACAACGTTTGCAGAGCGTACACTACAAACGAACGCACCACCCGTTATTGGTTTGCACGTTATTGGTTTACGAAAAGGTTGCTGTTTGGTGGTTAAACGCGGATATATTTTATCACAGCTTCTTACCAAACAGAACGAGCATTACTGCAGATTTACTGTGTGTGTTGTGAAGAACTGAACACAATGACGGAGAAGCTGGCACAACTCCAACCAGGTTTTGTCAATCGTTCGGTTCCACTGCTCCTGCACGACCACGTACGACCTCATACTACACAATTGGTGGTACCAGACCATGCGCCTACAGACTTCTAATTCTTCCAGAATTTGGATAATGTCTTAGCGGGAAAAAAATAAATTCCCGAGAGGCAGTACAAAATGCCTTTGAAGTATTTGTTGCCTCCCGTCCAGCTGATTTCTACAAGAAGGCATCATTAAGCTACCAATGCGTTGGCAAAGATGTATTGATTGCATGGGTGATTACTTTGATTAATAGAAATAAGAAAATAAAGCTTCATTTATTTTATTAAAAACGGAAATTTCATAGATAAAGACTTAATTAATACTTCAAATCCGGTTGAGACCGGATTTATCCGATCAGATGGTAACTAATGGCGCATTACCAACAGTACCAGCAATACCAACTCTACGTCTTTTTAGGTACATCTACGTATTATAAGCCTTTCCTACAAACCAACGTACTATAATCAACCACAGAAGCTAAGTATTTTCTACTAAAAATTTTCAAATTAGCTTAACACTCTAAAGGGGCATTATTTTCGGTAGTTCTGCAAAAAAGTTAATATACGTTTCGTTACATACTATCGCACATTCACCTCGTCACAAGTCACGTCATTAATTTTAAAAACCAAGTACTGTATTTATTTTTACCCACTCTCTTCATCTCACTAGGAAAAAAATAATTTTCAGTTCTCCGTAATTTTACGTCGTACGTAAAACCAGCTTTTTAAATAAATAATAATTTTCAGCAATTTTTCATTCACAATGCTATATTGAAAAAAAAATTATTAAAAAGGAACTAAAAAATTTAAAATAATTTAAAACTGATGTATTAAATATTTGCATTTTTATATGTTACATTGTGATTGACAAACAAATAAAACGGAGGAAAAGTGGGTGAAAAGCTTGTAAGATTTGAGTACAAACAGAAAACTAAATAAAAGCTTACAAAAATTGTTTCTAATGAAAAATGCTTAAAAAATCCACTTTGTCCCTGGAACCATCTGGTCTAAGATTTAGGTTTTTGTGGTCTTTAATAAACAAACTTAAATTCAAATCTTTTTTTAGAAAAGTATTTGTATTTATAAAAAGTATCTATAAGATACCTATTTTGTATCTAGTATTTCAAATACTTTTCTCGAAAGTATTTCGTATCTGGTATCTGAAATACTTAATTTAAAAGTATTTTGTATCTTGTATTTCAGATACTTTGTACAGGGTATTTTGTACATCTCTGATAAGCACGCACGTGCACTCTTTTTTGTTTATCGTAAAACAGTGATTTGTTTGAGTCATCTGTAGCTCGGGAACAGACGAGTAGAATGGCGCGGAAGATATGGCGAGCGGGCGGGCGGGGGTGTAACATTTTTAACTTGGTGGGAATTTCTGAATCTTGCTTGCGCAGGCCATTCAAAATGCATCGGCGGGCCATTGCGTGGCTCGCGGGCCTTTGGTTGAGCAGCCTTGCTTTAAACATATTACGACGGACTGGATGTAGTATTAGTTAAGTTGATTCTGGTTTGCTCACAGTCAACATAATACGCTTCTCCTTTCTCCGCTCGTCGGCACCCCTAATCTTATACGTGACCAAAACTAACCTATTTTATTATTATATTTGATCAATTTCCCATTCACGATGCTATACTGAAAAATATTTCTAATAAAAATTGCTTAAAAAATCCGTGTAAGGGCGTCAGGTTGCCAGGGACCAAGTGGATTTTTTAAGCATTTTTCATTAACCTGTTTCATTTTACAATAGTGTATTATAATAGTGATAGCGAAATAATATGTTGAATACGCTATTATTACGTATAATAAATACGTATAATAAACTTTTATTAGACGTGACTCCTGCCTTTCCGAGAGAACCAATGTAGGCGGATTTCGTAATAAACTAATTTGTTCATTGGTAATTAAATATCTTGAAGTTACATTATTAAATATGAATTTGAATATGGTAATTTGAAAACTGTATATTAAGTTGTATGTAAAACATTTTAGAATCTGTAATAAGATCCCAGCTATGTTGTACATTGTAGCATTGTTGTTTAATACTTGAAGGCAAGGAAACATAAATATCTGTAATGAATAATATAAAATATCAATTCTTATGATGATTGAACGTGACAATATGTTATTTTCATGATTTGATATGATTTTCATTGTTGTTTTAGTTGCTAACTAAGTTATATATAACTCGGATTAGCGTTTCATGACGAAGCCCCGCTCATCTTACTAATTGTTTACAATTTAACTGAATTTAGGCGTGGATATAACAATTTCACTAATGATGCATTAGAAACATCTTTTGACGGACAGTTATTATAATATGTGACATTGTTTTATGGCAATCTTAATGTAATATAAATATTCAAAGTTCGAAAACGGATAGTTTTTTGCATATTGAAACTGGGGGCATTAAGCGTCGTAAAAAACACTAGGTGTATATAAGTCGCAGGTAGCAGTCGAAATTGATGATTATAGATGCAGCCGGGAAGCCCTTCGAAGCATGGCGGATCTCGTGATAGTTAATTTTTGGTCGCCCATTTTATGACCGGCTTTTGCCATAATTGCGTAACTCCCGCGTTGCAAACCGAACGCTCTGACCATTACGCCATGGAGCTCCTCACAAGTACGAGTTTGGTGAATTTAAATCTATATTTTATCATATGTGTGGAATGTAATCGTATCATTAATTTGAACGTTGTCGTGAGATAACAAGTATTCTTTTCTTAGATGAATTCTGTAATTTTTTTTTAATAATTAAAAATGTCAGGATTCTTTTAAAACTACACTTTTATTCCGTGTGCCCTAAAGTCAGCCATCATAGCTAACAAACCAATAAATAAGCTTTTATAATAGCTTTGTGACCAAAACAGGGCTAAAATTTTAGGCTACATTATTTTCATCAGAGGGGGGAGGGAATAAGTTATTTTAACTACATATCAAACTATCTAATAAGATCCGTTGACTACGTAGTTACCTATTTTAATTATTGTACAGCAAACCTCTAATTGTACCTTAGCAATAAGGGTTGTTCAGGATGTGGCTAGGTTAACAATTATATATAAAGCATTGCCTTTTATTGGCGCTTTATCTTTAGAATTTTTCTCTAATCACAAATTGAATCGGTAGCATTATTTATTTTTTAATGAAATTAAAAGAAATGGTGCTTAAAACCTATTATTAAACTAAACGTTGTTTTAATTTTGCACTTACCTATAAAAGCTCGGGAGTAAAACTACTTCGTAAATAATGGGTCATTTTAACTCTTTGTATAAGAGCCTGTAGTTTTTTGCGTTAAATAGGTACTATAATGTTGTATTTTTGATGGATTCAGTTTATTATTAATTGAATAATGTA